AGATGGCAAAGGGAGAACGTTTGAAGTTGACGTATCTTAGCAAGTTGTAGACCTTCTGGCAGTACCGAAGGTTCAGTGGAGCCGTTGATCACCCACAAACCAGTATGCCCTTGCACAACCAACAACGTACGGTAGGGTATTAGAACATTTTTCTTTATGCAGCTGAGGTAAATGGGCTCTACGGTGGCATCAAATGTCGTCTCAGTTGCAGGGAACTGACGACAGGAATACAGTTGGCCGACAAGGGTGGTACAGCTGCGTCCATACACGCAAATGGTGCCTTCCTGACAGGGTGGGTTTTACAGAAACGCTACTGGAAAATCTGAATATGCTGTAATTCTCCTGTGCGGCAATCGACAGTGGCGCCACAAAGCTTCAGGAAATCGAGTCCTAGAATCTTATCATGCGTTGAATGAAAGACAGCAGCAAAATCAGAAATAAAATTCTGGCACCTCCAACTAACAGTCACTCTGCAGATTCCAAAAGGTTGTAAGACATCTCCCCTAACTCTACAAAACGAATCAGCACAGTCCCAACGGAACATAACCTTCCGTCCAGGAAAGAATTTGAGTGTTGGACTCATTACGAATATGGATGCACCTGTGCCCACTAGGCCATTGTTGAGACACCATCGATAAGCACACGAAGCTTATTTTTTAACATGCAAATTAAAGGAGGCACTTTTGTGAAAATTGAAGACTGTCCAGTGACCTAACGTCCAATGGTAGCGCCGACTAATTTTTAGCCAGCGGCAAACAGTAGCGGCACCTAGGAGACGGCGACCGATTGAAGCAAGGAGCTGGAGGGGGTGTCAGACTGCGGTTAGACGCTGGAGAACGGTTTCGCAGCGGCCTTGGTATCTCGTGAGATGGGCTTCCAGGGAACGTTGGTGCTGGTGCAAGGCCGGACAGGTGGGATCTCGATGGGCGGTCGTGCCTTGGTGCTGCCGGTAGTTACAGTACTTGGCAATTTGGCCTACGACGCCACAGTTGTAGCATACGGGTAGGGGTCACTCGTCGAACCACTGCTTAGAGTGCTCCGCTGTGTAGGGTCGCCTAACCGAACAGAGTGGAGCAGCTTGCTGAACGGGAACTGCCCGCCTCTGTGGGGCAGGGGCCAGGACGAAGGCGTTGGTCATACCGTTGGTCAGACGCGAATGAGTCTCGGCGTAGCCACAAAGTTCTAGCTTCGCTAATGTCCGTCACACATACCAATGGTGGCAGAGGAGCGAATGGCGTCGGGTAGTAGGATGAATAGGTAGGCGGACGATGGATGATGTCGTCGACTAGTATGTTTTGTCGCTGTAACTTTTCGCGCACTATTGCCCGGATAGTAGAAGCAAGGTTGTGGGGTGGACTCACGTCGACACTGGCGATTATTGTTACATTTGCAAGCCTACCGAATTTCGGGGCAATACCATGGGTCTTCAGCTTCTCAAAAGTACGGCAGTGACGTTGGACGGCGGAGACGGAGGTGAGGTCTTCCCTGCCTGTCAAAAAATTCTTCACGTCCTCTGCTAGAAGCGGTCAGACCATGTCCTCTTCAGACATATACGTGTCGATGATCTTGCAGAGCATCAGAACCTCCTCTATGTAGGTGGTACGCATTTCCAGGAATCTGAGCTCTTTGAGCAAACGTGCGCTCCAGGCTTTTCTTTTTCGAATCACAGTCGCTGGACCATTTCTTGAGTTCGTCAGCGCAATGATCCCACGTTGTATCTTCGTGGTTTTTGTACCACATAAGTTCGGTTTCCGTGAGAAACAGCGCGAAACTTCCCAGTTTCTTGGTGGGATCCCAGCAGTTGTACCAGCTCACTCTTTCGTAATTTGTCAGCCACGCATCCACATCTTATCCTGCTCTTCCGGCGAACGGGTGGGGTTCTATATAGGGATACCGAAGTTGAGCCGGCAGTTATCTTTGCCTGGTTGAGAAGCCATTACCTTTGCTCTCGGCAATGACGGTTGTTTTCGTTGGCAGGCCGGCAAGACGACGGCTCCCGCGAAGCTCAAACAGCTGTGGCTGCGCGGTTCGTTGACGTGTTGTACGCAGCACCTCCAGCACTGTGTTATTTTTGGGATTAAGTTTATTCCGCTGTGGCCTACCGGCAGACTCGAAGGTGTCATGCACCGGAGGCCTATCTCGCTAGCCGAACGTCCTCTTCTCTAATCGGCCTGTTCCCCGCCACCCAGAGGCTCTTAACCAAATCGCATATTCAGTAACAATAGAACGAGCGTGAGTTATTGGTTGAATTATTATTACACACTTTAGGAAAAATAATTGAATGGCATTTTGTAGAATTTGGCCTTCTCACATGGAAGAATTGAAAATATCACAACATATCGACGGTTTTAATGACGAGTAGGTCGAACCTTCGAAGGGGTTTATTGGTAAGCCATGAATCGTTTGTCCGCTGTCTGCCTGCCTGCCTGCCTGCCTGCCTGCCTTCCTGCCTGCCTGTCTGTCCATCTGTCCGCCCGTCCATCTCCGTATGTCTATCTGTATGTTTGTCTGTCCGTCTGCTCGTTCGTCCGTCCGTCTATCTGTTTGTCTTTATGTCTGCCCGTTCATCCGTTCATCCATCTAGTGAACACTCCGCCATCTCGCATCTTCGCTTATTACATTCATCATATATAAGTACAATAAACAAGTGGACATTCCAAGAACTAAACGAGAGGTGGCTACATACAACTACATGCATCGAGGACGCACGAGACACGGCTTAAAGAACTTCACCCCTTGGAAAATTCCGCCTTGTCTCCGGACACTAAACGAACTAAACATTTGGCGTTATGTAGCTCGGAGTACACAGTAACAAAATAAATGTTTTCGTTGCTGTATTGCTGCAGGAGCAGCTTTATGCACGGATCGAAAAACTTGGCCGAGCAGAATTTTGTCCATTTTTGACGGGTCATGGACACAATGGCAAAAGCCGCACAATTTTTTCCTCGCAAAATCTGTGAGAAATCATTAACTTTTGCACTTGAAAAGGTGGACAAAGACCAGCACTTTTTACTGTATTAGAGAAACAAACAAAAGTATTTATTTTAATAGTTACAAAAGCTGGCAAAGTCTAAAAGGTGGCGTTGTGCCCCATGTCTCCTTTTACCCCTCTTTAGCCTACATGCCGTCTGAACGCAACGTTCAAGCGATCCTGGCAACATGGAACCAAATTATTCATTTGCGCCTCCTGTAGATTACTTATAACGAAGGTTCTGTGTAAACGTTCTGCTCCTTCAACACAGTATTTGTTGAAATGGTTGTTCGCCACGGTGATATTCGAATAAAAACTCATAAAAAATATCACGCATATATGAAAAACCTCGCACTAGCTTCTTACATGGAAAACTGATGGCTTCTAAGGAACGCAGAAGTCTCTCCCTCACATGTCTGTTTCGCTATGTTCCATAGCTATTTGCGACTGCAATATTATGACACACATTGACAGTGGGAACACTTATACACAATTTGACGCGAGACTTATAGCCGCCATCATTTTGGGCTAGTAAAGGAATGTTTTCTTCCTTGTGTGTATCAGAATGACACAGAGTAATGTGATAAAATGTCTATTTCACCCTCCCAGTTATGCGCATGCATCCACCGAATCCCTGTGAGGTTTTAGGGGCGAAGTTTTTGTGGCGTGGGTCTGTCACTCCTCCGTATGTATGTATGTATGTATGTATGTATGTATGTATGTATGTATGTATGTATGTATGTATGTATGTATGTATGTATGTATGTATGTATGTACGTATGTATGTATGTATGTATGTAACCACCGGTGACACGTGCCCGCTCTAGAGTGGGTGTGTGCCAAAGGCATTGCGAGATGGGAGATTGTGGTACTTGGATTGTTCACTGAATTGAGACACGGATGGACACATAGACGGACCGACAGACAGACTAGCAGACGGACGAAAGGATGAATGAACGCACGGACGTACGGACGAATGTACGCACGAACGGATGGACAGATAGATGAACGGACTCATGGACGGATCCATGGACGGGGTGATGGACGCTTCATCCCACTCATCATCATTCACTCCGTGGATATGCTGCTTTTTAAAGATGAAATTGGCCGCATATCTGCATGCTTCAATGCAAATGCTGTTGAATCTTCTGCTGGCCTTCTTTCGGGCACAGTGTGGTTTTTTCAGCGCAGCCTAAGAGACAACAGTCTATAAAAATACGTGTTTGTGTATATCCTAGTGAATTGATATGTGGGGTTCAACGTCCCAAAACCACAATACAAATATGAAAGAGGCTGTAGTGGAGGGGCTCCAAAAATTAGGCCACCAGGGGTTCTTAACGTGCACCCAAACGTGAGCACATGGGCCTACTGCATTTTCGCCTCCATAGATGATATAGCTGCTGAAGCTGCGATTCGATCCCGCGACTTATGGGTCAGCAACCGAGTACTTTAGCCACAAGACCACCACAGCTGGAATATTTCTCGGTAAAAAAAAGCACACCCACCTAATACCTATATATTGGTGTTGCGCCTCAAAGGCGTAACAGGTGCTTTTGATGAATTTTGTTCAGAAGTATGAACGCAGCCACCAGTTCTAGATAAAAGGACAGTCAGCAAGTTCGTAAACTTTATCCGGGGGGCCCAATCGTTTAGTGTGGCAGGCAGGCAGACAGATAGACCGAACAAAATTTCTGCGTTCGAGTGTCGCGATATGGACTATCTCTCCCCCTCCCCCCCCAAAAAAACAGTACGGTTTATAGCCACACATGGTGGCCCGAACCCATTCATAAAATAGTATACATATAATAACTATTTCCACTATGCAGTTCAAGCAAGAACAAGAATCTTTCGCCTTTTACACTGCCGGAGAGAGGAAAGCGAATGTGATGACATTTTACCTTTGATGCTGAAATGGATGCGTGTGAAGTGGGATTTATATTCTTCCAATAAAGGCTCTAGTTTTTTTTTTGTTCGCCTTTGATTTGCTCAAGATGTATATAAGTCTGTGTCACTCCTAGAACGCGCAGCACATCAGGCGCAGGAACAATGGCGAAAGTTTTCAGCATCCGTATTGTTATAGCTATGGCCGTAGGCATTGTTGCTTTGTCGATGATGCTGGATGAATGCGCGTTTGGTGCCAGTGCAGAACCTAAGGTTTCATTAACACTTCCTCGTAAAAATTTCCATTCTCCGCTGAGGCATAGATTTGGGCCTCCGAAACGTACCGCCGGGACACCCAGGAAGCCTAAAAAACCCGCTGCATCTGCTGAACCTAAAGAACCTGCTAAACTTGTTGCCACTCCTCCACCTCCTTCAGATTCAGTGACTCCTCCCCCCCTTGACATTGCTCTACCGGAGGCATCTGCTCCGTCCTCTGCAGGCGCACATATCCGTATGATATATTTTTCTTCTTTTTCTTTTTATCTTGAAGTTAAGCTACAAGCCAAGCGCAGTGGTCCAAGACACCCGGAGGGAAATACACGCGCTGCTCCAGGCTTGAATATATATACATGCCACTGGGAAGGAGACCTTGCACTCTGCATGCATGGTCGAAGGTTGCTGTTGCTTTTTTGGTATAGAACTTGGTACTCTTATCACTCTCTTTTCTGTTTTATTTTGTATTTTGTATCTTTTTTGTTTCCTAATGATTATTTTATGTTCTCTTTCAATCCTCTTTCCCGCTTTCGCTAACGCCACGTAACTAACTAGAGAATTGAGTAACCTAACTTTATTTCTGTCAGTTTCTTCCTGCCTCATTCTGATATTATCAATATTATCTAGGACCACATGGTATCAACTATTTATATCTTGTACTTATCATGTGGATTCACTAGTAATGCTAGTTTTTTACTGGGGAGAATAAGCTAAGCTTTATTCGCTATAAACTGTATTGTTCTAGAAGGCTTCGAGAGACAAATATTGCTCTGTGAAGAGATACTGACAATATTTCTGGAAAGTGAATTTAATGTGGTATTATAAATACGCCGCATACGCAGTCAGCTCTACGTATATGTGCAGCTCAAGAAAAGCTGAAAACATAGTTGATACCAGTGCTAAACTCAATTTTTGCATTTCGCACCTACTGACACTGACACTCGCTTGACGTCAGAGTACAGTACTGATTGTTGTGACGTCACACAGTAGTATTGTAGTGTTGGGGACGTCAGCTACAAAAGCTTCAAAAATGACTGCTATTGCAACACCATCACTTCAAAGTGTCAACTTGAGTGCCAACAGCGGGGCCCCAGTGTGGATCGGCTGTCGAAACATCATGATATTTTGCGCGAAAACACGACGACAAGCTCATAACACCTTTTGACGTGACACTACACTATAAACCAAAACTATCTTGTAAAACATATTGTATAACTTTTAAAGGTGCACAAACGCTTGGCATGGGCTTTTCCGACCCCAGATGTGTAACTCCTTACACTGAACTGAAAACAACTGCAAATACTCCTCACAGTACTGTTTTCGTAGAGTTCACCATAACCATCAGCTCATGTTGTCTGACCAAACACGTTGACGTTTGACCTGATGATTTGACACAGCTACCGCCAGTGTTCACTAATTATAAAATCTTCATGGTTGAAGGTATTGCAAGCCTCAATTGTGTTTGAAGATCAGTGAGGCTGATAGCATGTGAAGATACGTCATTTGGCATTACGAGGGGTCAATACCTTCCCAGTGCATAGTGTGACCACAATGAAATACAGCGCAGTTCTTTGCTCTGAGAAACAGCTGTACGGTACGAGGACTGACTACCGTGCTTCCATCAAGGAGATAATTCGAGCGCCCCTTGAGTTCATCGATGACAAAAACGTGTCGTGTTTCCTAATTTTGGTCAGCAGGTGTGACCTCGAAACGCTTGATGAATGTTCATAGCCACTGCCGCTCTCGTTTTTCTGTAATGATGTACGTGTCGCGTACAAAAAGTTAATAGCTGCGCACACTGCACTGTTTTTACCCACAATGTCTTGTAAGCAGTAACGTTGTGAAACATCTGTTGTAGCATTTTCTATTCTATACAGCTCGTTTAAGTTTCAAAACATAAGTTGAGGAGGAAAATGGGTCCTGCCAAAACAGAATAGTTCCTTTGACAGTACGAGTCACACGAGAAAAGTCTTCTGTCGTAGTTGTCACAGTTGCTCAATCTTGTTTGGACAGGTTTCTTCTTTATTAAAGCTGCGAAGACATCCAGATTGAAGGATTCATTAGATTAGTATAAAATGAACACCTGCATAGAGCGAAATAGATGTTGCAGGTCTTTTCTGCTGAGTTTCTTGCAAAGATTACGTAGGATCTAGTGGACCACTAATGATTAAGTTTACGTCACGCAATCTGTCATCGTGTTCATTTAGCCTAGAAGCATCACACATAGAAATAAACCACGAATGGTACATTTTTAATATTTAAAGCACAGCTTTATAAATACAAAAACTATATTATAGGTCATTCTACCAATATTTATTCCAGAAACAGCAATAATGGGAGTGTCAGCCGGCCTTAGTGGCTACGCCAACTCTCGTATGATGTATGGTATGTATGGCAACATGTACGGTGGCATGTATGGCGGCATGTATGGCGGTGGCTACGGCTATGGCACCGGTGCCGGCGGCTATGGTGGTGCTGCTGCTGGTACTACTGACGCTGCAAATGCTACTGCGACTGCTACTGCGCCTGCTACCAACCCTGACCCGACTGGCGCTGTTGGATCGCCTGGTCCTTCTGATGGCGTGGCTGGTGTTCCTCATGGTTCCGGGGTTGCTGCTGTTGCTCCTGGCGTTCCTGTCGCTCCCGTACCTGCTGGGAGCACCGTAGGCCCGGAAGCTGCAAGCCTGCCCACGAACAGCTGAACATCGATGAAAACGCATTGTAGTAACTATGTGCTTCAAGCACAATAAAGCATAAAATACAGATTTGTTTGGACCTCTGGAGATATTTGCATATTATTTTTTCAAGCAGCTCCCAAACTCGTTACAGTCAAACTGCAATGTTCATTTTTCATGCTGATTGGTGCATTTACATCATAAGCATATCAAATAAAGAAAAAGAGAACATTACTTGTTCTGTGTCATTCTAGCTAAATGTTCCAGTAGCCAATCGTAGACATTGCTGAGATAAATTTATCGACAGTGGAATTGATTGTGAGCTCGCGACGGGAAGTGCGCCACGCAAGGATAATATGCTAGTATAGTAATTAAATATTACCAATCTGCGGGGAGGCTCTTCTCAGTGCGTTGATGAAAATATAGCACTACTACGCGGCAAAAAATCCCTGCGATTCTTTCAGCTACACATAAATTATTTCCACTCTCTCTCTCTTGCAATTTCAGATCTCTGCCTTTATGTTTTCATGCAGCTAATTGCAATAACAATCGTGTACAGCCGTGGTGCTTCGCATGAGAAAGCAGATCTAGAAACTGTATAACTTTTGAATCCGTTACAGTTTCGCGGAAACAAGCTGGCTAGGCTAGAAATTCATCTAACCTGCCATTTTAATGAATGGTCATACACGCTTGTCCCTCTTTGTTTTGGCGTCCGTTCACAAATATTCATTTTGCATGCAATCCATCTTCAACTCCATAGTGGCGTAAAGCCCCGCCACGTTGGTCTAGTGGCTAAGGTACTTGGCTGCTGACCCGCACGTCGCGGGATTGGATCCCGGCTGTGGCGGCTGCATTTCCGATGGAGGCGGAAATGTTGTAGGCTCGTGTTCTCAGATTTGGGTGCACGTTAAAGAACCACAGGTGGTAAAAATTTTCATAGCCTTCCACCACGACGTCTCTCATAATCAAATGGTGGTTTTGGGACCTTAAACTCCACAAATCAATCAATAATAGTGATAAAAAATTAACTGAGTACCAGCAATCTTCCTGTTTTTTGCCCTTCTCTCCCTGTTCCTCTCTGTTTCTCTTTGCTCATACTTTCTCCCTTTTATTCATACGCATAGCAGTGGATCAATACTCAGTATTTCAACTAGAAGCAGGTAAGCTAATCGCTTCGAAAAAACTCCATGTCATGAGGTCTTTATACAATAAATTCTCCCAGCTCAATTGAGCTGATCTTTTTTGTTTACGCACTACCCAGAGAACTAAGATAGCAAATTATACGTGGAAACTTATAAAGTTGTGTTTCGGCACTTGCTACTCTCGCTGCCTCGAAAAAACATCGAATGAGTCATCTTTTCCTCTCCGCTCACATTCCAACTTTGACATTATTGAGCATAAAAGTAAAAGTGAGGAAACACAAAGGGTGATCATTCTCTGCCTGAATCTATATGACGTGATGTGCTTTAACGGGCACTGAGATGACACTGTTCCTACATGCCCATCTCATGACTGCGCTAACCTTAGATTAGCAACAATAATTTCATGATAATGAAGAATAAGAAGCTTTGTTTAATGTCGAGAAAATTCGCCATCTAGCTCGTGTTTCAAAGTATGTCTTGAAGCGAGATGAGTGCGTTACAAAAATATATTTTCTAACTATGTATATTTTGATAATTAGGCTTGAAGGGTTGTCAGGTTTATAAGTGGACAGTCTGCTTACGTGTATCACAAAACGGAGTTTGCGAGGTTTAGCGCAACCGAGAGCGCGGATCTCTAGTACATAACAGTTAAATAAAAAGAATATGTCACGCGAAGGAGGAGTAACTTGAAGTTTTTGTATAACATCTCAAACACATTGACTCTAAAAAATGCAGGTGCTTTTCCACTTCATTGTGTTTGACAAACACCAAGTAGCTCAATTTAGCTCGCTATTTTCACATCTTGATTTCTTTTCTTTCTTAGTGGAAAAACAACTATGATTTGTTTAAATGCGAGAGTCTCCAGCTTACGTTAACATTTACTTGTTTAAAATATCCCACTTTGTTGACAGTGTTGCATTTTACTTGCACATACTTCACACATTTTCTCACAGGAGGTCCCTTTCAGCCAAGTGCTCTAGGACCTCCTTGTGAATGCTTACGTGCGCATGCATGTTTTACATGAAAGTTAATAAAGTGAAACTATGGGTACTCTGAAGCATCGAGGATATAGTGGTAACAACGCTGAGTATCTTGTAAGTCCTGAAGTGTTTGGTCGACTGTGGGGGAGCAAAGTGTAGGCAGATAAGCAAGGTGATAAGGATAGCTGACAATGACATTGAGTAGCGGCCTTATACTGGGTAATGTTAAGGGACTGCGCTGACTATCGCACGAATTCCGGAAGCAGAGAGGGCATGATAGGCGAGGGAAGTGATAGCGTATTTTGCTGTACTATGAAGAAGAAGCGGCGCCAAAACGTCATGGCGGCAATGACGTCACGTGCAGCAGATCATATGTGATATTCATTTAGGGGAGGGAGATGTGACGACTAGGGTTCCCACAGTCGTCCTTTCACATTCTTTTCTGACGTGGCACCACGCTGCTTCAGCGTGGTTTTGGTGGGGCGATTGCGTTTGTGCTGACGTGGTAGATTTTTCGTTGAGACCGTTATTCGATGTTTCATGCTGGGGTAATTGACATAAATGGAACCTGCTGAGTGAGAATGATGTGAGACAATCGCAAAGTACGTTATCAGCAGCCGCTCGCTTCCCAAGTACGATTACCTTACTGGTGATAAACGTTAGAAGTCCTGGGATGCTCCATATTCAAAAGCTCTCGTGCGTCATTGATCAACGGCCCCATAATTTCTCGGCATGCGCTCTGTGGCACAGATAGTCGACGTGAGAGTTCGAGTACGCCAGGGGACACGCCACATTGGCCCTAGACCAACGAATGCCCTCAGATAGGGTTTTCTACCCATGCCCGTTTGCCACGTCACTTGAAAATCGGGGGCGCCACAATTTGTATTGTGTCAGCGTGTTTTCATGATAAAGTTACGTGGCTGTGAGTTATACTCTGTACATATTGGTATGCAATAAAACTACTGTAATTCTTGCAGCCAGGAAATATCAAACGCCGTGATGCTGAATGCTTTTAGGGTTGAGTTGAACCTACTTCCACACGTTTTTGTAAAGAGCCTAACCACCACTGTTAAAAGGTGCTGGCATATGTGAGATAGTCATATCTCACACTATAAAACTTAAAGCAGAGTTAAAATTTTAGAGGCGAAGCTCTTAAAGCCGTAGGTCTGTTCTTCCCCTGTGTCTCGTTTTGGTACGTGACCACCAAGTTCCATGACTCACTCAGCAGGTGCAGACAGACAGACAGACAGACAGACAGACAGACAGACAGACAGACAGACAGACAGACAGACAGACAGACAGACAGACAGACAGACAGACAGACAGATGCACCGACGGACGAACGGATGAACGGCCGGACAAACAGACAGATGGACGCATTGACATACAGAAATAAAGACGGATGAACAGAAGAAAGACAGGCAGACAGTCAGACAATTCATGGTTTACCAATAAAACTCTCTGAAGCATCGCCCCACTGCTCATGATTCAATGCGTCGATATGCTGTGATTTTTTATTTACATAAGCAATCATTATTGCACTTTTATTTCACGTACGCTTACAGGGTACTATTCGGCTGACACTAGCGCCTTTGCACAATGCGGGATGAAGAGACAATTCGACACGTCCTGTGTGACTACTCAAAATATAACATACAAAGACAATACCTTTCTAATACACTCAACAAGTTCGATGAGCAGCCGCTGTCAGAGGAAGGCATACTGTGCCATCGTCCAGACACATCATCACAGAAGAAAGCCGTGCAAGCGCTACTGGGCTTCTTGCGAACAACTGGCCTGTCGGAACGACTCTGAGTCGCTTGATTCTGTGTGTGCGTGTGTATCCATGTTTCGCTCTCATTAAGTTTTTACCGCAGTTTCTCTATTTCAACCCCCTACTCCCAAACCCCAGTGCAGGGTAGCACACCGGATACTAGCATCCGGTTAACCTCTCTGCCTTCTATTTTTCTAGTTTCTCTTTCTATATGGCTTCAGGTCGTGAGTGAGTTTCCATGCAGAACGTGTGCAGGCCTCAAGAAAGACATTGCCATCACTCTGCAGATGCCGCTTGGGGAAGGCTGTACAAGGAGTGCAGAAGCGCTTTAGAGGCTTGTACGCCTGTTCAGACGCTAGATGGTGTTGTACGATGTGGCTTGTTATTTTCAAAGCTGATCTACCTAAAATAGAGACAGCTTGTTCTCAAACAGACGGTAATGTCGCGTGCTGCGATATGCGATGTGCTGTGCTATAAGTAAAATCGTTCCATAAATTTGTTAAAAGAAGAGGAAACGCCACATGATCATTTTCGTACCACGAACCGTTCACGAACCATGGCTTCGAATTCTTAGCGCCAAAAAATACTGATACATTTGTACCCATGTTGTCGACATCTCTTCCTTTTGGCTCCGTATTTTTTGCCTCTAAGATTTCGAAGTTATGCATCTCTACTAACCCACCCAACTCACGGCACTCATCCTTCAAGAACCTTTCACTAAAACTGTCATACGCGCTGGAGTTCGCGATTCGTTTATTATCATTGAAACAGACAGCTTCGCTCAATGTATGTGGCGTTTTTTTTTTCAAAAGAGTCGCATACAAAAACCATACTATGGCGAAAATTTACAAAAGAGTAATGCTTTTCTTAGCTTTTTTCAGTGAAAAAAAAACAGAGAAAATGGCAATCCTTCATAATAACATAAAATAAAAAACAATTTCGTATGAAAAAAGCAACAAATACTAGCACTCTCTGAGTCAAACTGAGTCAGATTTATAAAGACAATCGTGATTACATCAAACGAGGCAGCTGCTTCCAATCTCTTTTATTCGTGTGCTACTTTGGTAACATAGTGTGCTACTTTCGTAACATATTCGTGTGCTACTTTTATTCGTGTGCTACTTGCGTAGCTTCGCAAAAAGTTATTCTTGGGAGGGTTGGCCTTTACAGATTGAAAATTTGTATGACAGAACTTGAGCATATATAGTAGAAGTTCGACTTGGGTACTTTTAATGAAGTAATGTTTATTTATTTTAGTTTTGTTCTAAAACATTTTTCTTCCCCCCTTTCCCTAAGACGATATATTGTAAATCGAAGACCTTTCGAATGAGCAAT